TCGTTTGTAAAATACAACTTCCATTTATTTTGTTGAATAAGACAATATGTTGTTGTTGAATTTTTGTTTGCGCTCTATTTTATGAATGGCATGCGTTTTTACTTCAAAACTACAAGTAAAATTGTCGTCACAATTTTATTCTTGATCTAGCATAACCAGAGAAGAAACGTTCCAGAAATTATATCGAAATATCCCTTATCTAAACCCATTTCGCTTGTTAACCTCTCTAAATTCGGAACCTTGGACGTGACAGAGAACATGAAGAAAGTCACGCGTTAAAAACAATAGAATTTTGACAGTTGAAAGTAATTTGCATAACCTCAGAGCGCACATGGAGAAAGGCACGCGTTAAAAACAATAGAATTTTGACAGTTGAAAGTAATTTGCATAACCTCAGAGCGCATGCTCTCCAGCTGACATAGCCCCTTTAAGTGCGGCAAAAGAGCGGCGTCTGAATCAATTTGGTGAGGCAGTTTTAGTTTGGTGCGCCAAAAGCGTAAAGTTCGACAGAGTCTGTCGAACTTTTGTCGAACTTAACTTAGGTTCGACACACGGTACGCCGTCTGAATCAGATGTCGCGCCAGTGTCGCTCCAAAGTCGAAGTTATTCAGTTAGGTTCGGCACATGAAAAGTACGGCGTCTGAACCAGGACTTAGATCCCTAATGTCGTAATTTCTCCTTAATTCAAAATACTCCAGGTTGTTGCGAAAACGAAGACCCCCGAAGACCCGAAAACTGTTGCAAAGACCCGAAAACTAAGGCCCGGTTCAGACGCCGTACTTTTCATGAGCCGAACCTAATACATTGAATTAAGTACATGAAAAGTTCGGCGTCTGAATCAATTAGGAACGCCTGTTTCAATTTGGAACGGCTCAGCCGTTCTTTTCGCCTAGCCCGGCCGGGAATTTCGCCTTCGGATCGACTTTGGAACGCCTTTGATTCAGACGCCGAACTTTTTATGTACCGAACCAAATGCAGAAATTCTTACAACGTATTTTGTAAGCAGTTTGACCGAAATGCGCATTTTTCGCCTTCTGAATTTAGTTCGGCTGGAATTAAGATCGGCGTCTGAATCACTTTAGCCGGTCTAAATAATTTGGGTCGGCCTTAATTCGAATTAGGTTCGGCTCATGAAAAGTTCGGCGTCTGAACCGGGCCTAACTGACTCCCGAAAAATGGAGGTAGACACCCGAAAACGGCGATGATGCCCTCAGTTTACTGGCTTTCCCTTGTTTTTTTTATTTTTATTTTTCTTTCCAGTCTTTCTTTTTTTTTTCGCTACCGCCATAATTCATCGGCTCTTCGCCACAAGTTTTCATCTTTGTTTGAAGCCAATTATGGTAAATATTTAAGAATTATAACGTTCATAATTTAAAAATTAATCGGGACAATAGAAGTTTAGGTTCGGCTTGTTCTTAGCTGGTTCGTATTTTTTCGGCCACTATCAGTTTGAGCCGAACAGCCTCTCCTTTTGGAACCCTAAGGAGACGCAGGTCGATGATCCCAGCGCTACAGTTTAACGGGATAGGTTGAAGAGCAGAATCGTTGTAGAATTGTGAATTGTGAATTTCAGACTATTCTGGCATCAAACAAGTTAAAGTTACATGCAGAGAGCGGTTTTTGATTAAGTCAAGTGTAAATGACTTTTGAGTGGTCATGGGCATAGTTCGCGAATGACAGTGGTTGTGCATCAAAGCTTTGATCCGCTTTAGCAGGTGAACAAGGACGAGTCAAATTTGGCTCTTGAACTCCGCGAAAACTCCCTAATTTATGTAGAGTATTTATAATCTGAAATGGGAAATTAGACCGACACGGTTTGTGAATTTTGCATAAACTGTCTTTTTTTTTTGGACTTTCTCGCATTAGCCTTTGCTTTCTTGATCCTAAAAGACATATAGTAACGCAACTTATTGTATTTTCAGAACCCGTCGATGGCGATGTGACTCTCGGCGACGGTGTTTCTTACGTTGAATTATCAAGGCTCCAAGTATAATTAAAGGAGCTTACGCCAGTTTGTTAGGGCCTGCAAAACATACAAGCTAAAAAATTCTATTGTTTGTTCTAATAAGAATTTATAAATTCTTCAAAATATCAAATTGAGTGTGAGTGATGTTAGCTGATCTTATCCAAGAGGCTTTGCTAAAAAAAAAAACCTGAAAGACAAAAATATAAAATTGCGCCATCTCCATTGAGGAGTGATTGACACGTGGACCAATTTGCATGCATAATCTCATAACCTACGAAGTTGCGTGAAGGTTAATACGGGTGTAGCATAATTCCTTACATTGGAAATATTAGATGAAGACGACTTCCTCTCTATTCGTCATCGACGTGGAAGTGCTTGATTCTTCGCTATTACTGAATTCAGTCGAATGAGCGTGGAATCGAATATGAGCAGTGAAACGGAATTAACAACGCAAGAATCAAGATCACGAAAGACAATATGCATGTTGCTTTGTACTCCTTTTATAATATTCACTGTTTGTATTGCTGCTTGGAGACCCATTTTAATTCCGTATTCATACAAATTCGTGAAGATCGTCTCTTTACATATTATTAATGATAAAGACAGATTTTCGGACAACGAACTGCTGCTTGCTCGAAAGGAATGGAGATTGTATCAACTGGAGAGACAATTCGGTAAACAGTGGTGCAACAAGAATGAATTTGGGCCACGAAAAGATGTAGCGTGGTTAACTGTTATGGTCAATGATGACTTTGTCGTTCCCGCTTTGGTTCTTGGTCACTCAGTTCAAACATTTTCTTGTCACAAGAATATGATTGCGCTTATATCAGAAAATGTGAGTGAGGATACACAAAACGCGCTTCGGAACGTCGGCTGGGAAACTCGTTTGGTCGAAGAAATGGATTGCAATTGGATGGATGCTAAAGTTGGTGGAGATCGAAATAGCGGACTTTTTGGAAGACCCCTAGGACACAGAATTAAGGGAACACACACAAGATTTCACGCGTGGAACTACATAGAGTTCTCCAAAATGATTTATGTTGATGCTGATTACATGCTAATGTCTAACATAGATGAACTTTTTGACATCCCGGAACACTTCGCAGCCGCGCCTTGCTCCCGACCTGGTGTTTTGGATCCTTGTTTCAATGCAGGGCTTCTTGTGTTCAAGCCAGATTTGAAAACCTACCAAGAAATCATGAAACACTGGCGGGAGACAACAGAAAAAGACACCTGCCCAACGGACCAAGAATTGCTGAATGAGTTTTATGCAGACAGTGGCTGGAAAGAACTTCCGTATGCGTACAACATCAGGCGGATAATCTTTCGGCCCATGATGTCATTCCACTATGCCTGCTGCCGACCTCCGAAGCCATGGACGTCAGAATGTCGTCCAAGTAGAAAGGAGGCGAGTAAGTTTGACGGTCCCATTATAACTGTTGATGATATGGCGTTAGTTTTCTGGAAGAATTTCTATGAACTTCTTGCGCATTATGACTTGGAGGATTGGTGGAGATCTACAAACTTTTCCAGGCCAACGCAAGAGTTTAGAAGTGATTCAAATTCTTCTTGCTGGAGGATTTATAGTTGAATGACAACGCGTGGTGGCGGGGCGCTTGGGTCACTCCGCCCCAAGCGGCTCTGAGGGAGACTACCTTATCGGTACGTAATTTCGCGTTTTTCGCGATTGTAAAAGAATTAGCGAAACTAAAGACCCGCGAATATAAATCCTCGTGAAATGTAATACCCATTTGGGAAATTCATTGTAACAGGGTTTCGTAGTAAAGAACTGTTTTGGCGGTGTATTTCCCAAAGGCATGTTGTTTCACTTCTACTATGACTTCAACCATCACATGTGTAGGGCCACTAGGGAGGGAGAATACTTGTTTAGAATTTTTAAGATCCTTTATTATAATTACTATTTGTAAATAGGCTTTTTATCATGACTGTTGTAGTTTATTATTATCGATTTTGTTTTTAGAGGGCCACTAGGGAGAATACTTTTTATAGTAATTGGTGTCACCCTCTTAAAGTAAAGGTTATTATTATTATTATTATTATTATATTATGATGTCCAGGGTCGACGGGAATGACGCTATGGTATCGGGCCACCTATTTCCGGACTTAATGCGTTTTTTTTTAAAATTTTTATTTTGTTTTGGTCCAACCTCGTTCCCAGGGCTTTTCCCATTGAAATTGGGAGGGGCGGGAAAAGACCCTGGCATCGGCTGGTCACGTGATTCCAAACACCCGAAAATTCTGTGTGTAATAAATTACGATGTGATGAACGTGTGAAATAATTTTCAAGCAAGATGGCGGAATCGCGAGATAACTTATCGGTAATCAGTCGCCTTGGATTAGCTCTAAACCGATGCAACTTTCCTTCTTTTTGCATAAAGCCACTTCAGGTGAAGTGCTTCGAGTATTTACTGAATGGAAACGATGTTATTGCTGTTCTGCCTACTGGTTTCGGCAAATCGCTCCTGTTTCAGCTTTTACCAAATTTCTTGCCTGTAAAGGCAGACAAGAATGTTGTCATCATTGTTTGTCCTCTGAACTCTATTATGGAGGATCAACTTAAAGTGTTAGAAGAGAGAGGAGTCACTGCCGATGTTCTGCAGCTGGCCAGTGATGATCGGGAGGGTATCGAGAGTCTGTTCAATCCAGAAGACAACGACAAAAGCGTGGACGTGTCAAAGCTAAAAAGTCCCTCCAAGAATCTCCTCAGGGGAGATGTACAGATAGTATTTGCCCATCCAGAGTCCCTTTTAAGCAAAGAAGGACGAGAGCTGATGAAAGGCGAAGTCTTCCAAAGAAATGTGGCTGCATGTGTAGTCGATGAAGCTCACTGTGTTGAAATTTGGTGAGGCTTACCAACTTCAGTGATAATTTTTAAGTGATAATTCTCATAACTTATCTGACAGTAATTCAGTATTTAAAATTGGACATTTTTATAAGTACTTGTAGTCACCTTTAAGCAATTTTAAAATACCTGGCATGTTATTAAAATATGTCTCAAAGCCTAACAAAAGGATCCATTCCCATTCAGTGGTATGGAAATTAGTGACTGGGTAATCTACAATGTAGCTAAAATCAAAAATATCACTTTACTTGCTGTACACTGGAACCTGGATGTCCTTGTAATACATGTAAGCTTTCATGCAAGTGTTTGAGAATGCAATAATAACCTTTGCTAACCCTATCTGGCAACTAGCAATTGTAATTACATAGCCTGCCTGGTTATTTTTTTTGTAGTTCCAGGCTATTGAGTGGACACCAGTTTTGTTGTCCCCTGACAATATAGATGGCACTGCAACTTTTCTCACGTCATCTATATTTTTTTGTTTATTTTAGGGGTGAAGAATTTAGAGCAGATTTTAAGGACCTGTCTGCTTTAAAGGCCCTTTTCCCCACTGTGCCAATCATGGCCCTTACTGCAACTGCACCACCACATTTGCTCACAAATTTAAAACAGAGTTTGTCATTGCAAAAAGGTTGTAAAGTTGTTGCTGCAAACCCAAACCGTTCAAACATTTATTATGACAAGAAGATGAGGATGAGTAACCACCACGGGTATGAAAGCTATGACCGGATTGTCATCCCAATTGCAAAAGAATTGGCTCTGCAGAGGGAAAAGTATCCCATGACCATCATTTACTTGAAACTCAAGTACTGTGGTTATGTGTATGGCTTGTTTGAACAAATCTTACAAGATAAACAATTTGTGGGCGACACAAAAGATCCAGCTGCGAGGCTGTTTGCTCAGTTCCATGCCCCTCAAACAAAACGAATGAAAAAGAGCCTTATCGCAGAAGTAAAAAAGGAAAATTCAAGGGTAAGGGTGTTGTTTGCAACATCAGCGCTTGGAATGGGAGTTAATATACCTCATGTGGAACATGTTGTACACATCACACCACCAAGCAACATTGAGTCTTACATGCAGGAGACTGGACGTGCTGGCAGGACAGGAGTCCCATCTAAAGCCACGCTTTATTACAATAACTCTGACATTGCCAAAAACAAGGAGCATGTTCAAGATCCAATGAAGGAATACTGCAAATCCCAAACTACTTGTCTTCACAAACTCATTTTGGAGTATTTGGGGTTTCCAGGGGTTACTCAGGAGAGATGTTGCTGTGTTTGCGATGCAACATGTACTAATGTTGTGAACAAATTACCCAGTAGAGTTAAACGTAAAGTGAGAGCCATGCCAACTGAAAATAAAGCTGTACTTGAAGAACTTATTTTCAGTGTGCTGAATGAGTTTGAGGCTGATACAAGTGTGCCTGGTGAGAATTTGTTCATGCTCTTCAGTTTCTCCCATGAAAAGAATGTTCTTCCAAAGATCATGGAAGGAATTGACTACATTGCAATTGAGACAGAATCAGACCTTCTTGATGATTACAAAATATGGAATGAGACCTGTTCATCAACCACTAATTGAAGATAATACCTGTGACACTTATAATGACTGAGCTTCTCACTTCCTTGAAACTGTTAACCTTTTTATGATGTATGTTTTTCTTTACATGTCCTTGTTGGCTAAAATGTAACTGAAGATTGAATGATCCTGCAAGTTTATTTGGCCAAAATCAGTTAATTTAATTAGTTACTGGCACATTGTTTCTTTTACATCTGACCTAGTTTGCTACTTGATTCTAGGCTGTGCTCTAAGAAAAAATAAAGGGAGTAACAGCTCTAGATAACTTATGTAATACAGGGCTACTAGCATCAAGTTTTGTTGAGAAACTAAGATTTCATTGTTGCCAAGGCAAACAGAAGTCACCAAGGGCTGCTTTAAATACACAACCCTGTGTATGGTCATTTTTGTGCTTATCTTGTTACCATCAGATCAACTCAAATGAGCTATTCAGGTAATGTTTTATGCCTTAAAATCAAAATGCATACAGTCGAACCTCCTGTAAGCGACCACCTAAAATGTCAAGCCTAGGTGGTCGCTTAAGGGAGGTGGTCGCTTACAAGAGCTTAGACCATATTGAGCCAAAAGTTTTCTTCATTAGCATATGGTAACTGCAGAGAATAACCTCATGTTTTAAAAGTTTTATTTATGTAAAAAGTCACTTTTAAGAAAAAATCCTTATTTCCCATTGAGACATTTCCGTCTCTTTTACTGTCCAGGAATGCAATAATGTTACAACACCTTTATTATCCAATTTCTGCTCTGTTGTCTGTCAAATGGTCGCTTACGAGAGGTTAAAAACTTTTAGCTCTAAAAGTGGTCGCGGTCGCTTACGAGAAGTGGTCGGAAATGACTTGAAAAATGACTTGGAAATGTGTGGTATTTTGGAAAACTGGTCGCTGAGGAGAGGTGGTTGCTTACGAGAGGTGGTCGCAACCGGAGGTTCGACTGTATTCTGCACACTGCTGGTATACATCTCTCATGAAAGTTATAATAATAATAATAATAATAATAATAATAATAATTATTATTATTATTATTATTATTATTATTATAATTTCTGAATCAATACAAATTATTTTCTAATGGCCAGTGATAATAGGAAAGGTTGTTACCCAATATCCTGAGCTAGAGGCTCATCGTCAAATAAACTGAAGTTATATCATACATGTAATAAAAAAGTCAATTTATTTTTTTGCTTCAGAAACCAGCTAAGTTCAACTATTGACCTATGTGATTTCTTATTAACTGCGAATCTTGCAGATCATAGTTTCTGATTTAAAATACAAGTGATACTAAAAACATGTTATTTAAAAACCATTGTAAGAGCTCTGCAGTACATTTTGTCCTCCAACTGTTAGGCTGTGTATGCTGTAAAATACTGTAAGATTATTTTTGATACATTAAATTGTAATAAATTTTTACTTTTAAGCATTTTTTGCAGATGATACTTAAAGTCAGAGAAAATAACCTGTTCCCCTCTTCTATCACCTTTACTGCCCAGAAATTCAAACATGCCCACAGTTTTTGGTAAAAAAAATGCAAGCGGTTATGAGCAACTGCATGTGAAGAACCACAATGATAAACCAGTTGCAAATTCCTATTCTTTTTTGGCTGTAGTTGATTGCATGAGAGATGCTTAAGGCATCAACCTGGTAAAAATTTATCATTTCTGATCACTGCAAAATTTATCATAACTTACATGTAGAGAATACTCACTATATTCTCCACACCCAAATGTTTATATTTTATTGCCACTTCAGTGAGAAATGCTATTCTACACTGTAATTATTACAGGACTCAAAGTAGCACAACATAATCAGATCATTTTTTGGTAGAAAAAACAGATTTTGATTGGCCAGAACCCTGGCTGCTTATAAACAGAGTGCAAAACAGTAATTAAACATATCCCTTAATAAATTGTTTGCTAGAGGCATGGTGGCCTCATCATTAGTACACTTTACTCTGGATTGGGTGGTCTGGATTCGAGCCGCAGCCAGGGCCATTGTGTTATGTTATTGGAAAGACAATTCACTCTCACAGTGCCTCTCTTTACCCTTGTGTATCAATAGGTTCTGCAAGGCTGCAAATAACAGCCAGTCATTGGACATTTGTCTGGCAAAATTGAGGTTTTCACTGGCGAAAAATTAGTCTGGTCAGTCACTCTGACCGGGAACTTTTCATTGAAGTTGAACTTTTATCCTACTTAAAGAGCAAGGTCACAGAAGCTTGATTAGTGATAAAACTGTTACATCTCGTGTCTGTGATTAGTATTGTGCACATTCTCACTCTTTCAATGGGATTTTTTTTGTCCGACCAGACTGTTTCCTTGTCAGGTCAGGTCTGGTCTCTGACCTGACAAGTGACCTGCTTATAACAAAAATATTATTTGCAGCCTTGTGCTGGGGGTAACCCTGCAATGGACTAGCATCCCATCCAGGGTGGTGAGTATAGATATTTGCATTTTTTTCAGCCTACTGAAACCGAGGTAGACTCCAGCCTGGTGGGCCACTAGGCTTGTCTGCAGACTTTACCATAATAATTTGTAATTTCCACTGGCATAAAATATTCATATATATTTTTAGTTTAACTACCACAGAAATTTGAACCACATTCTGACAATTAGCATGTTGCTTCTTCTAGCCCTGAAAATATTTAATGAAAACTTGAAGTGCTAAGTGTTTCTGGGAAGTTTTAAATTTAGTCTCTGTTCGAAAGTTCTTGTTTATGTTTGTCAAGCCACTGATGGAATTCAACAATGTTTAAGTACCTGAGGGGGCATCGTTTGATGTCAGGAAAGCTGTCATGGCATCTTTCAGGCACTCTTTGGAAAGGATCCAATTGTACAAGGTCTTCAACCATCTCCTTTTCATCTTTTAGAGAATCCCGAGTGGTATGTTGAACAGAAGACTGATGAATACCAGCAGAAGTGTCAAATTGTTCCTTAAGACTTTGCTGATGGACTGGAAAGTTTTGTTTGGCCCCATTCTCTGGACAACAGACTTGCTTAGTCGATTAAAGATTTCCTGTGCCATATCATCTTCCATGTTGTTTCCAGCGCCACCCCTCCAGCTGACAAAGAAACCCCATTTAAATTCCTCTGACATGCGTGGGGTTAACATACATTCTATTTGAGCGATGCTTACAAACATCTCAAGGGCATACTTGCTGTAAGCACCCATTGATTTAAAAACCGACAGCAGCAACTTCTGATTTATGAGGTTTCTTTCACCGTCTGCCTCTGCTGCAGTGTCTTTCAGCTGTAAAATAAGGATGGTTAGGAAGATGTAGCACAGGGCATAATTGAGACATAATCCTCCTCTTCCCCATTTGTAGTGGCATTTTTTTGCAAAAGATACTCATCAATGAATTTTTCAAAAACACTGTCAAAATATCTTCTCTTGTCTTCCTCTGTTTGATGGGAAATGTTTGAAGGGAACTTGTTGTGGGAGGGAACATCCTCAAGACTTGTCATTCCAAAGAAAGTAAGAGCTGCAGTGACAATGTAAGCTCGACCAACACTGAGAAATAGTTCCTCACTTCCTTCAAATGAATCCAGTACTTTGGCTGGGGTGGCATTCCGGCGATTAAATTTTTCTCTAAAGTATTTTAGAGTTCCAATTTGGTTGACCGATTCTGCCTTGTACAGGAATGAATATGAGTACTGTAGCAATGATGCTTTTGTGTGCCACATGACTGGCTTGAATGGGGAACAATGCTCAAAACGATCTGATGGAGTGTGGGAGCCTGAGAGCAAATCTTTAGCACCAGCGAATCTAACTCTGGTCAACTGGTCACCAGCAAAAACTATCTTCATTTCCCTCAAAGGATCATCAGGGGTATCCTCCTTGTGAGCGTTTGTTTGGCCAGGTGCAGCTGATCCCTCTGGTACTTCAGGGTTGTCAACATGAGGTACTTCGTCAAGTAAGCCCGCCTTGACATAAATCTCTGAAATCCACTGCTCGTAAGATCTCAAAATGCGGACACAATCTTCATATTTAGCTTCATTGGCATTCAGAAGGGGCAGGCTCACGATGGTGGATTTTTGAGCCATTTCTCCACTGTAAATATAAGGAATATTTGCAGGGATGACTGACTTAAGCCACTTAAACTTTGGAAAGAATTCAATAATTATCCTTCCTGTGAGAATCTTTGCACAGTTTATGTACACTTTCCACTCATCAACATTTAATGAGAAATGGTGGCGTGGAAAATTTACAATGTCCCCCTTAGGATGCACATTAGGCAAGTGTGAAAAGTTGACCCGGTTTTCAATAAGGTTGGATGCAAAGAAGTGAAGATCTTCATTCTGCACATCCTTTCTCATATGGCCCTTTAGGACTTTCAAGTCCCAGTTATCTCCTGTGCCACGGAAAACAGAACCACCATTTACTTTCTGAACAACTATGTCTGCAAAGTGCCCTCCAAGAAGTTTCACTAGGATATCCCGTCTTCCATGGGAGAGACAAACACCAAGCTTGTTCAGTCGCTCCTGAAGCTGGATTAAAAATGGTAGGAAAAAAAGTAAAATTAGAGTATTCTCTCCAAGTGGAGATTTAAAGCTAACATGAAACGATACATGTTTCTAAGAAATGACTTGGAGTTTTGCCGTGGGAAATGTCATTACTTGTCTAAGTTTTGTATTTTACATTAGCCTGTGTCCTTTAAGTTAGTATGGGTTTCTCCCACACTACATGGTTTGACACTCAATAAAACTTTATTATTATAATTATTATTAGATTTCCTATATTTAGGTTTCCCTATTTAAATTGCATATCAAGAAATTGTGTCAAATATTATTATTATTATTATTATTATTATTATTGCTAATAATCACAGATAAAATCTGGTTTTCATTGGTTCCGGGCAACAACCAGTTGTCTGGGGAAACCAAAAAGCGTCCTTCATTGTACTTTCCTCTCCTACCTACATCTCCAGCACTTTCCTAAGTACAGATCTCTAAGGCTTACCAACTAAAGACCAAAGATACTTTGCATCAGGTACCAACAATCAAGCTTAGTTTTGAATGAGAAGATTGTGATCTTTACTTTTTCAATAAAGTAAATATTTACACAAATTTATACTGGAAGAATTCTAATAGGTTGACTGTTATTTATAATATTGATAGTTGATGCAGCCTACCAATGCTAAAAATGTTCATTATAAGCTTATGTGGATGGGACCCAGCTCTGTAATTTTGTGATCAAAATTGTCAGTCATGCACTTCAGGTATTTTAGCAAATAGTCAGTTCAAACTGACTTTAGCTTACGTGAATTATAACTTTAATTAGTTCGCATAAGAGAGATCCTCACCTTCTTGGTACATCCACCTTCTATAATCAAAGCTGTGTTTACGCGCTTCAAAAGACTTAGTTCGTGCCATCTTTCGCGCATCAGAATCGAGTAAATGAAGCTGTATTTTACTCGCAAATCATCGGATGTAAAGCTTTTCCCACAGACAGCATTCATGATGTTGACGACAAAGGGAATGTTGCTTTCTATCTCATTCAAAACACTATCAAAGTTAAAATCTTTCAGACTTTCGTAGCTGTGGCCATACAACACAGAGCCATCCGAACGTCTGCACAGCTTTTGACAGGCTGTGTTGATTTCCTCGTTGATGAGCAATCTTAGCGAAGAAAGCACTTGCGGGCAGTGGTCCCTTATAATTTCTGCCATATTAGACGGTGGCTCTGAATTCAATGCTCCAATAATGTAGTTATCGTTTAGTACTGGAAGCTCTTGGTCACAAACTACTTCAGGTAGCGTCTTCGGCATTGTTAAGCCCACGTGCGGACGAATTTTCCTCTTCCATGGGTTCCTGATGTTCGCCTTCGTTAAACTGGACTGGTTTTTGTCCGAACATAAGCTGTTTTACGGAGGTTTTTCTGGGGATCTCGGTAGCCGCGCGCTTCGAGGGTTGTTTACAAGATGGCGACAATTCCGTGCAACGCTTCACTGAACACTTTTGTTCCAGTTCAAGTTCACTTTGAATATTCCAACTCTTTTGTTTGAAGTCGCTCACCTTGGAGACAAATGCTTCGCACTTTCTGCAGACCAACTTTGGAAGGCAATCAGCCTCGCTTATAGTAATTCCACAGACATGATGAATTTTCGCAGGAAGGTTTTTTTCGACGCCGCTTTTGCCTAAGACCCGAAGCATGTGACGGCTTTCGTACGCACCACCGCAAAGCCGACAAACCGAATTTCGTGGGTGTAGCTTTTTGGGAGTCGGCGGCTCCATACAAGAGATTTTTAACACAGAAAACGTATTCGATTTACCAGACTCAATACCTCACTAACCTATACTAGCCCGCTTAAATTAATAACTTTTTGCATTTTTGCGGGGAATTCCAACTACCAATAACAATGGAGGGTTTAAGAGCGGTTGCATAGCGGTGGCATAAATTAGAGCCCACGAAATATTTATGACGGATCACGTGACCAGCCGATGCCAGGGTCTTTTCCCGCCCCTCCCAATTTCAATGGGAAAAGCCCTGGGAACGAGGTTGGTTTTGGTCAAATCCGCTCGACTGACCAACCCAAAAGACTTGTGCTAGTTCGGGGATAATTTTGGCGGGAAAGGAACCTCTTGCGATGGCGGCTCCGCCGCCAAAATATTCCCCAACTAGCACAAGTGAGCCTGCGCACAGGTTACCCAAGAGAAGTGTAGAGGGGGACCTCTACAGACTCTAGGATTTCGTGAAGAGAGGTGACACAACCAGAGTTTGGCAGTTGACGTTGGTTTTAATCTTTCCGTTGAAGTTACAAACTCCTCTTAGCTATCTCAGATCTCAAGGCGTAACTGTGAAGCTACTCACAAGAGGTTCTATTTATATTGAACAATTAAGTTAATTGATTTTTTACAGTTTTACATGGCATTCATATGCAAGGAAAAGGTGTTAGTAAGTGTCAGAGTTCAGAGAACAAAAGGAACTGAAATTGAGTTGACTCCCACTACGCGTGGAAGAAATTTGCAAAACTAGAAATATCTCAACACCCAAATTCCTTTACAGGGAACCAAAACGATAGTTTGGAAGAAACTAAATTTTCCTAAGATTGTGTCGAAAGAAATTCTGGTTTGAGGTCAGAAAAGTTAGTGAAATTTGGTTAAAACTGGTTCAACAGAGAACAAAGAACTCGAAAGGTGATAGGACGCGTGGCCTTAGGTTAGATTTTAAGGAGATAAGGAAATCTGATTACAAGAGAGAATGATCATTCTCTCTTGCTGATTATGATGCAAGTTTGGAAGCGAAAGTGAGAACCAACTTCAGGTTTACGTAAACGAACTTCGTTAACAGGAAAGGCTTGTCTTCCTATTCCACAGCTGAATGCATCTACTTATTTCCATCTTTTGAACTTGTTTCTGTGTTTCTTACATAAGCTTGAAGAGGTGTTTCTTAACCTCAGTTAAACCTTTAGTTGTGAAAGACTGAAACTACACTTACGATGTTTCCTGCAATTACCGTGCGTCCAACTTCTATTTTTGATTAATCCCAACACCAAAGAGGTCAGTGCAAAAATCCTTTCGCAAAGGACTTAACTGACCAGCAAAGGTTTGCCAGTAAAAACTAAAGTGTGTCCCGCTGTTCTGACAGCTTGTAAACACCATTCTTTTTCCCTTAACAAAAGATATTTGAGATATGGTGGAACTTTTGATTTCCGAACCGACCTAAAAACAAACTTATTTATATATTATATATCCCTAAATAAAGTTAAAATGCCCAACACCGAAATAAATAGAATAAACTGATTAAATATTAATGATTACGAAGAGAAGCGCATACAATGAAGCAGACTGAGCAAAAATGTACCCTAACATATTATTCCCACCTTTTAAGTGTCGCCTCCCGTCGACAGAAATGTAAGAATGAACTTAAGCAGTGTGAGTATTAAAACTAATGAAAACAATAACAGTAATGATAATAGTTTAAAAAGTTTCCGTCATTGAGAGAAGAAACTTGTTAGAACCAGACATATTTCCAGCAGATTGTGCCAAGGAGATTTCCAAAGATCATTCGCACACGTTATTGTAGCACTCTATGGTAACTTGAATCAGGAGGTTCAGTGTTTTTAGCCAATTCAACATGGGTGAGATATCTTGTCCTCGTACTCTGTCCTCGCCTTCTCAAACTCTAGCGGTTCATTAAAGTACCAGGGGGGCAGTTAAACCCGAGTTGCTGGCCAGAACAATGAAGGAGTTTCCTTTCGTCACTTCTTGGTTCCATGGTCGAAACATTTTCTGTTACGGTTTTCAAGTATACACCAGTGTTTCTCGAATAGAAGATCGTTTCACAAATTTCTTCTTCACACTGTGATACAAAGCGTAGGTTCATATTGTGACCATGGCGATGTATGTCGCTGTTTGTTTTAATGGAATGGTTCAGTCATGATTATTCTCTCCTGTCCACTTGAAGTCTTGAAATTAAGTGAGGGCAGTTAATGCTTAAGGAACACCAGCCAATTTTACAATTATCTCAGCTTAACAACTATCTGAATAAATTATACTAATATAGCTTAACCTTTTGCCTGATTTAATCTTTTCTGAATTCTAATGTTAAGTTCTGTTTGTTTATTTATTTTCCGCTTGGTTTCCTATCTCAGCTTGAGTTCAACACAAGGTTACAATTTTCCATCGTATATTTATCTGTTGTAAGCGCGTAATAATTATTGTCTCAACCCAAACCACGAATTGTAAAAGAAATTTTATCAGCAGGTTTCCGTTTAGTTCCTAGAAGTTTTGTAAGAGTAGGGTGGCATTTCCTCGTTAACGCCTCTCGAGACGTTTTTCAGTGGTTTTTCAGGGACATAAGTGAGACTGTTGCATTGAAGCTTTTAAACCGTTTAAGATATCGATGTGTAATGCAGGCTGTTTCTCTTTGTTACACTCTATATGATTGTATTTGGTACCACGAAATTTTGAATTGCTCAAAAACAAAATGATTTTTTTCGAAGATAATTTCGCTCTCTTGTAACTCTACTGTTTGAAACTTTTGCTCCAGTTCTTCAGGAATTACTACAGACTCTTCTTTCTCAGTTGTCCAACCACTAAAATTTCCAGTTTCGAGTTCACTAGTCTGTTTGTGTCGTGAGGGTTTCCTTATCGTGGAACAAACCTTTGAATAGTTGTTATTGTTGTTGTTGTTTTCAACAATAGCGCTCCGTGGCGTTTCCAATTCTTCATCAAATTTCAAAATATTAGCGTCATGTCCGTCGTACGTTAGAAAATGTTTCATTTATTCGTTTCTCAAGACTACCAATTTCTTCACGAAAACGGGGAATACTGCTATGAATGTAACTGAAATGTTTATTCTCAGTGAAACTCATAACATTTATTTTTGTTTGAACTGCCTTGCGTTTGCACGAATTTGCAACTGAATTTAGCGAGAAAATCCTGTTCTCTGAATTAAGGAACTTTCACTGATTCGTAATTGCTGTTTCGCTCCAGTTTATTTTGTCTTTCGGGGCTATTACATTTTAAAAGTTCTGGTGCTGGTTTCAACGGACAAAATTTCAGTGCAATTTTAGTTTTTCCATTCTCACTGGAGTTTTTCATGGGTCTCTTCGGGACAACAGACCCACGCGCAGTCCATTCAGCTTGGGTTTTGGTAATTTTTGGTTGTGGACACACCTGCTTAGGAGAGTCACTTAAAATTTAATTCACTGACACTAGCGGCGTTATCCTTTAATGCTGCTAAAGATTTATTGGTTTTCTCGATCTCTCCTTTATCCCGATCAAGGGAGATCGAATTTGGTTTAAATATTGCCCATAGGCGTATTGTTGGGCGCCACCCAAATCGTATTGGCGCTTCCGACAAAAACGTAAAATATGGCCGTTCTTGCCACAATAATGGCAAATTTTATTTGCTTCTTTACGTTGACCAGAAATGTTGCGACTGCAGTTCTTGTCTAATTATTTGAGAGTGATTTCTTCTCTTCCTAAACACGTTTCTGACTTTTTTCTGTGTTATCGGTCGCAAACTGCTCATTATATGCAGCTACTTTAAGTTCACCAGTTGATTTCAATTGTATAACTCGCTTAAAATTTCCTCTGTCCTTTTGATTTCCGAACCGACCTAAAAACAAATTTATTTACATGCATATATCCCTGAATGAATAAAATGCCCAACACCGAAAGAAATAGAATGAACTGAATAAAAATTAATGATTACGACGAGAAGCGCCCCACCTCCAAAGGCAGGGAAAAACGCCCTGGGGACGAGGTTGCGTTCTACCTTTCACTTCTTATAACAACCATATCAGTAACCTAGTGTTTGAAGAATTTCACTGTCTATGGAGTACAAATCAAATTTATTAACTTGAGAGCGTTTTAGCATTTTTTAAAAAAGGTTATGAATGGTGCAGTCATTCAAGTAAACCCTGCCTTTGAAAAAAAGATATATTGTAGGGCTAGGCGAACCCCGCGGGTACCCCTCTAAGTAAGTCACGTGACATATGACGTCATAATAATTTGCGAAGTAATGATTGAGAGACTGGTTTGTGTGTAGAATAAAGATGTGTTGTTCTCTTATCGCCGTGTGTTAACTGGGAGTTGTGGCGTTACAATATGTTAGAATTGCACATTGAACATTTCAAACGAAAACCAAACAAATAAACCAGGTACTGTCCTAACGGCCAATCCACTGATTAACCAGCTAGGGGGAGCATCATTGGCCATTTCCTAAACGAGCGGGGAACAGGTACGACTTATGAACGCAATGAATCGTTTGGAAGGACAGCGAGCTAGCCCTAGTTTTGAGCGTTTGAATGGGGACGGGGGGGGGAGGGAATACACATGTCAGTTGTCAGTTAACCCCATCCAGACCCTTGTTGTTTAAAATGCTCTCCAGGTTAATCCTCGGACGCACCCGCAAATTCATACACCCACCCTGGTACAAGTTGGGGGGGTCGATTGAACCCCTCCCAAGAGTTTTTGATGTGTTGCAGTATTTCGAAACAATTTTGCCTTCAGTGGAAAGCCTTTGATCTTCTGAACAAGATGAGGTATATTTTATGGGTTGTGGGGCTGCTGGAGGCCTGTGACGTGGATTTTATCAAGAATTAGAAATCAGGTTAAAATCGCGATTAATGGTAATTTTTGTGCTTGACATGTGAAAAAACATAAATAAGCACCTTGCATGATTTCATCCACAAGTTTTACTTTTATTGCTGAAAAAAGTTGAAAAAACATACATTTTCCCTAAAATTAAATGGCTCAACCACCTGCCACTTATCACGTCATATCTCGTAACCATAGTAATTGACCATCACTAAACTTGTCTCAAAATACGCACGAGGGATAAACAGCTACTGAAAACGTCAGGTGCTAATGTTTTATCATCTAGGAAAAGAAATCAGAAAAACCTCAGAGAGGAGTGGCAACCACCCCCCCCCCCTCCCTCCCCATCCCCCCTCTCCTTGTACGTCCGAGGGTTAATCTGCCTGAACGAAATATACTTGGTGTACAAGTGTAATGCTATTTTGAGGTACTTTAATGAATGGATCTCAATTCAGGGGTCTTTAGTATGTTCAGTTACGGTATTTCTAACTAGTTAAAGACCAGAGACCTTCTTTTGCAAATAGTAACAGGTCCGATCAAAAAATTCCTGGATTATCACTGAAAAGAAAGCTTGGATCTCACATAGCAAACTCGGCTATTTGATACTCCCCCCACCCCTCCCCCTCTCCTCTTCCGAGTTATCCCCATCACAGCTAGCTAGATTGATATGTGCCACCTCGCTGAGATGCGCTTCAATATTCAATGAACGCAGTTAGGTTGTGTTAAATTCGCCGTGTTCTAAACGAGTGAAAACTGGGTACGATCTGTGATCACTAAGCTTCTTGGGATCGTTTTAGAGAGACAGCATGAAGGTCAACAAACATGACGTACTACAAGTATAGTGCTGTGTTCCAAACTGCAATAATCACGTGAAGAAAAGACAAGGTTTAAACTGGAAGTTGCCCAGTTTATTGCTTAATTACGTTTATATGGTAGAAAGTGAGTCATTTTACTCGAAACTCTGAATATACCCCATGATTAGCAAAGTAATTAAAAAGCCTCAATCGTGGAGAAAAGTCCAAAATTAATTACATTACATTGAAAGAGCTATCTTTTGGCCGCTCAAAAAGCTATCTCTATGATATAGACATATCAAAACTATCTTTTGAGCACTCATACTGAAGCCTGTTCCGCACAGCTTAAATTAGCATGGGAATTCTGCAAGGTGGTGCATGTGTTCCGGCGTAGAAAAGCTAGAATCCGTTTTTGGATTGGCTCGACTCTTAAAGCGCCTTTAAATGAGCTTGATATGTTTCCCCAGCAACCACCTCTCAGATTTCACATACGTTACGTATCAACGTGCATGATAAGTGAGTGCATGAGTGCTGGCAAGTGGACGGTCATTTCATTAAAAAGGAGGTGAGAGCGAGAATTGCCATGGGCTTTCTAAATTGTACCATGTCCGTTTAGTACTGGTTACTTTTGTTTTATTTTATTTTATTTTACTTTTTCAAAGGATATGATCACTTATCAGTAACGTATGAATGTACCACCATAAACGTCTTGCCATTGTTTGTTCACAATCCCGAACGATATTCAATTTAAATGCATAATAGAAGGTCTATTAACTTTAACAGTTTTTTCACTAATAGACAGAATTTGTGAGTTACGAATCAATGAATGTTTTAACGAAGAAGACAACGTTAAATTAAAGACATTTTAAAATGACTTTTCCGTATGGAAGTTTACAACCCAGCACCTGTTAAGTGTCTAATATGTAAATTGTACAAAAGGATCGGGTAAAGGGAAGCTATTCACTTTATGGTTCATGAATTTGTATGTACATGTTTGGTTTCTAGTACCGAAATTTTTATAATTTGCTAATGTATTCAACAAATTAACTAACATAGCAGAACGTTTGGTCAAGGAAACTTAACTCCAACAGGCTTTAAAATGTAAACAACCACGAACTCATGACACTGTCTACAATGTCTACCCAATGTCTACCAAAATTATTTTTCATGATCATTTGATGACTGTTTGAACAATCTGGTCAATTTCCCACTGAATCTGATCAGTATTTACACGAAAGCTTTACTTAGCTTTTCAGTCTGTAGTCTTATTGTTAAGGAAAATATTTTTTTCATTTATACGGAATTTTTTTCAAACGACTTTGTTTGGCTTAGACGAATTCAGTTTTTCGAATACCGTTAAAACTACACGGAAAAACTATACGGAAGATAAGACAGGATTGTTGTGAACAGAGTCATGATAATTACCACGCACTGCCATACTCTGAATTTATAATTTTTTAAAAAAATACTGGTAGGAACTGTATTATAAGTTTCTAAATCTGATAATACACGACTGCGAGTATCTTGAACGGCCTAAAAAACTCTGATATAGATCAACTCGTTCTTGCAGATTCGGGGTTATTTTGGTCTTACTAAAAAAATTGACGTAAAGTTTACCGTGTCTTTATCAGCTCATTAAACATTATTTTCTTTTGTTTTTCTTTATGAAATATTATGAGTTTTTGAATTATTGATGCGGATTGTATAATACAATAGCCTTTAAAGAAATAATAACGAATCGCCAATAAAAAATATATAGCTGACTCTAATTTGCTCATATTTTCGTTCTTTTTTTCTCACTAAATTCACAAATTTTAAGCAAATAGTGGTCAAAACGTGTGACATAAATTCATACAATTTTCACTGGAGCAGGGGTTTCCTCTTATCTCTCAGTGTTTCATCGAAAAAATAACAGGTTCCCATTTTTGGATATTTTCGGTTATTTAAAGAATACCCATAGAAATCCCAAATTTGGAAGAGTGAGACAAGTCCCAATCAGGAAACTTGGTTGGGAATCTGGTTGGGACTTGTCTCACTTTGCCAAATTTGGGATTTATGTGTATTCTTTAAATACCCTAAGACATCCAAAAATGGGAATCCGTTATTTTTTCCTGTGTATATATATATCGGGGCTCTCCATGACTCTCTAATTCTCTGACTAAAGCTACCGAGATGGCGGGTGGAGAGTTAAACGCGTGGAGAGTTTAACAGTACAGAATTTAAGAGTTTAAGTGTACAGAATTTAACCCAGAGCGTGAGTTTAACGGTGGAAAGTTTAAAAGAGCTGTGGGCAAAAGAATTTCTTCCCAATATCCGAAAGGAGATCCGCAAGGAAATCGACTCGCTTAAAGCCAGTCTTCTCGACCTTAAAAAAAAGTTCGACGAAATTGAAAAGTCCCAAAGTTTTATTTCAAAGAAATACGACACTGTGATATCGGCGATCAAGGACGTAAAAGAACACAACGAAGGCGTGAAAAGCCAAATTAAATAGATCAAGGAAGACATAAACAAGCTCAGCAACGATGGTTTTAATGTCGAGGTCAAGTTGGATGAGCTCGAGCAGTACGCGCGAAGAGAGTGTGTGGAAATAACCGGTATTCCTATCGTACCTAATGACAGCCCAGCGTTGCTGGTGAAGGAAATGTCTGAAATTATGGGAGTAAACCTCAACGAAAACGATATATCGATCGCTCATCGTTTACCGCCAACGAAGAAAGTGAAAGATCGACTAATTGTCAAGTTCACTCGAGGAGGGAAAAGAGACGAAAAATACAGCAAGAGGAAAAACTTAAAATCTAAACGGACTAAAGATCTCCCGTCTGTGGCCTGCGAGCCGGGATATGCGGTTGTAAGTCATAAAGCACAAATTTATGCCAATGAAAGCTTAACGCCATACAGAAAACGACTACTGGGCAGAATCTTACAATTCAAGCGCGACCACAACTACAAGTTTATTTGGACGGCTAACGGTAAAATAATCCTGAAGAAAACGGAGAGGTCTGCTACGAAATGTTTCGTAACCCATGAGGAATTCGAAGAGTTTCTTGACGAGCTCATTTAATTAGCTATCAGTTTAATGATATTACGGAGGTAAAAATGGCTGATTACCAGGAAAACGTAAGTAGTTGTTTACCATTTTATGATTTAACTGATAGAGAATTTCATGCTATGGTTGGCAGCTTGCCTGCGTGCAGACGTCTCCTATTTCCTTTGTTGCACGCGGAAAAGGGACGTCTGCGTAACGCCGTCGCTAATCGTGTTCCAGCGTCCCGCTGGCAGGGAATTCTATTTCGCATAAATTGTGAAATAATATCCGGTTAGTGATAAGAGTTGACAGGCCAAACACAACATCATAAGCTCGTGATAATGCGAAACGTGACCTTGAGAGTCTGCTTGAAGAGAGGTTTTTCTTCTTTTCTCTCTCGCACTACACAGTGCATGTAGCTGTCTAAATTTTGACTGAGTAAATCTCGTTTTTGCCGCACTAAATCTTACATTTAGAGGTCATGAAGCAAGTTTGTTACATGCATACTGAGTAACCATTTCCTGTTGTTTATGCCTCTGTGGGTGTTTCTGATAGGATTTGATTTCAGATGCAGTTCTAAAGTGTTTAAATTTTCTTTGACCTCTGTTTGTTACGGCTAAATAAAGATTTTAGTTTTTTCGGCTGGCTTTCTCCGAATTAATGCCTGCCTGGTGCGAAGTCCACGCCACTTTTGTACGGTCTGCACACAATGGCACATGTTTTGATTTGTTTTGACTGGAAAATCCCGATTACATAAATCACTGCATATATTATCAGACCACATTCAATAACAACCAATCAGCCTTAAGTCGAACAATGCGCACTGTGTGTCAGCCTATCACAGCATGTTCCCAAGATCTTGGGAACCCAGCGGGACGCTGCAACACGATTAGCGAGGGCGTTACGCAGACGTCCCTTTTCCGCGTGCAACACAGGAAATAGGAGACGTCTGCACGCAGGCAAGTTGGCAGCTGGCCGGATAGGCGTCATGATCTTGACGTTTACGATCTACTTCCAAATCCAAATAAATTCTACGAGTGCGACCCAGATTTGTAATGTTAAATACCTCCTCTCAGAATGTTATTCAGTCCGTAGCTTTAATAAAATGCTCGTAAATCCAGACGCAAAATCTTTTTCAATTCTTCACTGTAATATTAGAAGTTTATCTCAAAACGTAAATCTATTAGAAGAACTATTATGCTCCCTTGACTCCAAGCTGGATATACACTGAATTAGGTGAGAAGTCTATTTCTAATGTAAATATCAAAGTCTATAATTTTTTTCACACGAACTCGCCAACAAACGCAGGTGGAGCTGCTTTATATATAGCTGATAATCTTAGAGCTGTACCTAGACCTGACATTAAATTTGACATAGCACTCGTTGAATCCTGCTGGGCAGAAATTGATGCTGGTGAAGGTAAGAAGAAGATCATAATAGCTAGTTGTATCTATAAGCATCCCACTTGTAATTTAGAACAATTTCGCAACTAACTAAATGATATAATCGCAACCAACTAAATGATATAATCCCAATAGACACGAAATTTACATCTTTGGAGAAATGAATATTTTTAAATTTCCTGAAATTCAATGAACATGCTCAAACTGAGTTTTTAGATATGCTTTATGCCAATAACATCTTGCCGATCATTACTAAACCTACGAGGCTTACTGATAACACAGCAACACTCATTGACCATATACATACAAATTGTTTACAAAATTTTACTTCAGGAATCCTGACAGTTGATATAACAGATCATCTTCCGATTTTCTGCTTAGTCAGAACCCAGCCTACACGGAACAATAGTAACAAAAAATGTTTTCGAGACTACTCTGAATTTAATAAAGATCTATACTTAGATGATATAAAACTGATTGATTGTCACGAAATCCTCAACCCAGAAAAGAATCTAAATGAAAAGGTACAGGAGGAAATCAATACCCTGAATAAAATTGTGGACAAACATGCGCCTATCAAGCTGGCTAGCCAAAGCAAGCAAAGGCAACTTAATAAGCCATGGCTCACTAAGGGTATCCTAAAATCTGTAAAAAGGAAACGGAAACTGTACCGTACGCATTTCTTAAGCAAGGACTTACAAAAAATCGGGGAATATAAACATTATGCAGCTATTCTTTCACATCTTAAGAATAAAAGTAAGACAGAATACTTAATAACATGCAATTTGCAAAGTACAAAGACAACCTTAAGCAAACTTGGAAACTTATTGGTACTCTTGTTAAAAGGAAAACCAAAGGTCAAATTTTCCCCACGAGAATCACTCCCAATAACAGGACTTTTACACAAGAAAAGGACATTGGCGAATTATTCAATAACTGCTTTGTAAACATTGGGCCAACTTTAGCAAAGGAAATCAAAACTGATCATACAGACCCTTTGCAAGATATAGAATCTACGCCATCAAACAGTTTTTACCTTGCTCCAGTAACCCAAACACAAGTATTTACATTATTTGCTGGGCTAAAAGAAAACAAAGCATCCCTTATTGTTCCTAACAAGCTTATTAAACTTGCAACGGAACAGCTCTCTGCACCCTTTACTGAAATATATAATGAATCAATATTATCAGGGGAGTTTCCTGAAATCTTTAAGATATCAAAAGTAACCCCAATATTTAAAAGTGGTAGTCTATCTGAGTTAGGAAACTACAGGCCAATGGCAGTTATTTCTCCCTTTAGTAAAGTACTGGAAAGACTAGTATATGGCCAACTTGTGTCCTATCTGGAGAAAGAATGTCTACTTTTTAACTTCCCATTTTGCTTTCGAAAGGGATATTCCACTAAATATGCCATTCTAGAAACTGTGGAAAAATTAAAGTCAGCAGTTGATGATCAAAAAATAACATGTGGTATCTTTTTAGACTTTTCCAAGGCCTTTGATACAATTAACCACTATATTCTTTTAGAAAAATTATATAAGTATGGGATCCGAGGACTCCCCCATGCATGGTTTTCAAGCTATATAACCAATCGTAAGCAATATGTCAAAGTTGGCAACACAGAATCTAGCCTGAAAACCATCACATGTGGTGTACCTCAAGGCTCCACACTAGGTCCACTGTTGTTTCTATTGTATATTAACGACTTGCCCAGGTCTTCGAAGAACTTTTAGGATTTTTGCAGATGATACAAATATGTTTTATTCTTCAAAAGACCCAGAACAATTACAATCAGTAATCAATGAAGAACTTGGGAAGGTCTTAAAATTCTGTGCAGCAAATATGCTGTCTATTAACTTCAAGAAGACTAATTACATGATAATTACTTCACCTAAGAAGAAGACAAATATCAGAATAACAGCTTGTAATATAGAGCAAAAGTCCCAGATTAAATATTTGGGTGTCTTTATTGATGAACATCTTAAATGGGATGCTCAGCTCCAGCACATTAACAACAAAATAACAAAAAACATTGGAATTTTATTTAAGCTTAGACATTATGTGCCTATAAGTACACTCAAACAACTGTACTATACTCTCATATATCCGTATCTAACGTATGGATTAATGAGCTGGGGTATCGCATACCAAACTAAGTTAAATAAAATCAAAGTAAGCCAAAATAACTGTATTCGCTGCATCTTCTTTGCAAATAAAAGAGAAAGTCCCACACCGAACTTTACACTATTAGAAATCTTAAAGTTAGAGAATATCTTTAAATTAAAAATTGGTGCCCTTGTCTATAAAATTCAATATCAAAAAAAGGATACACCTTCTGCAGTCTATGACTTAGTTCAACCGGCTTCAGCTGTCCATAATTATAATACTAGGTATGCCACTAATCAAAACCTGTGCAGACCGTTTTCCAGAACTAATTATGGCCTAGCAGGGTTTAGTGTAGTGGCATGACAGACCTGGGAAGCTACACCTACGAAAATTAAGTGTCTCCCCTTGAACAGTTTTAAAATAGAATTTAAACTCTTTCTACTTGACAGTCAGGCATCTTGAAGAAGTCTAATCTGTCACTTAGTTCTATTTATTTAATTATTTAATTAAAATAGTTTTTTTTTTATTAGTACCGTATAACCTCCACTCACTTGTATAACCGCTCTGTGGTAGTAGCCAACTCGAAAGTTTGGCTCGTTTGGCTGCTACACACTCTTTTCCTTTTTTATGTTTAATTCAATGTATAGTTAGCTCTGTTTTTTACTTCTTCTTTTTTTTCCTTATTATTGTTGTATTGTAATTGAATAAGTGTGAATAAATAAACTTGAACTTTACTGCAAACTGGATGCAATTGTCTTTTTAATCGGAACTCGAAGAACTTTCTTAAAGCTTTTATTGTAGTTGTCAGAGTAGACACGTTGGTCCTCTAAAAAACTAGCATAGAAATCGGAAATGAAGGGATGAATTTGAAGTACAAGAACACCAAACACGTGTGTACATGTTGTGTTAAAGCGAAACTTCTAGTACGTAGGGTTTTCTTTGTTTTTTTTTTGTTCGCGTCTACTTGCAATTAGTTGTAATTGTTTATAGTTTTCTTCTGTTATATTGTTTACTTTCTTTTTGGTGTCACCATCGTTGCGTAATGTTACGTAATCTGTCAAGTTTTTTTGGTATAAACTTAGTCTTGTCGGTCAGTGTTTTTTACAGTTTTTATCGGTCAAGAAAAGCTCATTCCTTTTAACGTTAAGTCAAGAAACCGTTAAGATAAATTTTAGTCATACGCCATTTGTACGCTTTTCCGTTTTCTTTGATGTATTTGTTATTTTGTACTGATTTCTACATTTTTCGTAATTTCGTATTCTTTGTATTTTTGGTTGTACAGTACCGTAGGAGTGTGATTTGTAAAATAAAGCGGTTGGACACTAATACGCGTGACTTCGGTTACATGTTGCATTCAATCAAAATGCAGCATCATATTTGAACATCCGTACGTAGACCAATTTTATAGTAACACGACAACTGCGCGATGACAAATATAAAATCGACCTTAACAGTTAAAACCCTAGAAGTTTAATAATATTAAAATTATCAGGGGGACGGGGGTTGGGAGCCCACTCCCTCCTCCCATAAGAAAAGGCTGAGATTTCACGCAGTGAAGTAATTTAACAGTGAATTTACGTAACGCCTTCAGATTTTTTTGTCAAAGCTGGTTAAAACAAAATTCGGTATAATCATGCTCAAAGTAGCAATATTTGTTATTTGCTGGATGACTTGCGCAAAGTCGTTTGTTGAAGTTACCTATTTCATTTAACTCAAGTATCAGCATGTATATCCTCCATACTATTACCACCTATCACAAGCATCTTTTAGAAGACACTCCCTTCACAACTCAATAAATACAGTACCACAAGTGAAGAGTAAAACAATAAGTTTTTCGTCTCTCACCTATATTTCGACCGTGTTAAACGCCCTTCATCAGGGTGAATGGCCGTTACAAGCATCACACACCATTACTACGTGATAACGAACAAATTTGAAAACTTAGACGCTCTACAAAGGAAGATAAACATGCGCGCGCTACTATTATTTTTACATTTCCAACGGTACTAACCAAAATAATTTCTTAAACAACCAAGACACCATTACTTGGTAAACACGAATTAGTTATACTCATTAACACAATGGTTTTTAAAGCAGCCATATGTAAAGGGGGCATCAGATAATTGGGTGATAAAGGGATAATCGATGGTACTGCAGATTTCATAAGTGTAGGTTGAGTTTGATCGTCCAGGTGAACGTAGTCCTGAATAGGACCGTTGTTGTTGACAGTGACTGATGTTTCGACAACCCGTGCGGTGGTCATCTTCAGAGTCAAAGTGAGTCGTATCACGTCCGTTGATGGTATTAAACTCTGGTTATTGACCTGTTTGGTCAATAGGCCACTTCCGAGTTCCAAAAACCCTCACTTTCAAAATGAGGCCAAGCGCACAACCTTTCTTGTGGAAATGAGTTATATTTGCCTGACACTGAAAAATCATTTCCATATCAAAGGCTGAGCACGCAAACCTCGTTTTGATACAGAGGTCCGGGGGAACTCGGAAATGACCCATTCAGTCGCGATGTTATTAACAGCCAATTATTAACAAGCAATCGGAAAAGAATCTTTTTGATATAACGGACTGATCACACGCTGGGAAAAAAAAGTGCTGAAAATCGGCCACAAAATGTGTCCAAAGTTTGTTTAAAAATATGCGAGGAATGTCACCAATTAAACTATAGAAGATAATGAGTTCAGACTTTCACTTTGTATTTATCTTAAGTTTTTCTTTCAAATTCTCCATTTTCGGGGCTAGTACTGCGCTTGACCAAAAAGCCCATTTTGTGACATCATCAGTTTTGACGTCACAAAAATGAAATTTGAGATTTCAAATCGGACAAGTTCTTCAATTTTATGTGCACTATATTTCTGCAAAGTATCACACTTTCAGGTTTAATTCTCTTGGAGGAGGAGTCTTTGGGTGTTTTGATTTTTTAATTGGCCACTAGAGGGCCACGTGACTCTTTACCAACAAAACGCCTATTCCAAAATTTTCCTGGAGTCAAGTATTGTAGCCTGTATTAATTTCAGTGTCATGCCTTTAAAGGAAAGGAAGTTATAGCCCCAAGAACTCCAAAAATGTTTGTGCCTATCACGCCTCCACTCGATCTTTTGGCCGATTTTTACCACTTTTTTTCCCAGCGTGTCATGAGGTTGATATTAATACTGAATTATCCTGTATATTGTTCTTTTACCGTTGATTAGGACAGAATGTTCCGGCAAAGATGCAGGGTTTTGAAAGTTTTGCTGATTGTTGTGTTCGTTGCAACCGTGTTTCTCCACTTCATCTTTTTGCCAACCGTTAATGGTGGATACAATGACGAATGCTTTCTACCTGAGGGGAAACGGCACATTTTAAGGACCATGGTGCAAAACATTTCGATGGCATTTGATAAGTTTGGTGTTCAATACTGGCTGGATTATGGTACGTTAAGTTTTCTTTTCAAATTTCTTAGCTATAAGATATATGAAGGGAAGGCTGGGAAAAGGGAAATAAGTGAGAGTTTTGGGGAAAGAAGTAGGTGACAGCGGGAAGGGCTCTAAATAAGACGGTTTGGCGAAAATAAACAATTTGCTACTGAACTTTCTTGATATGAAGAATAACTGACTAACGAAGGAACGAACGAACAAACGAACTAAGTAACTGTGTGACAAAATATTGAATGAACAAATAAATAAATAAGTAAATAAATAGATAAACAGCCCGGCTAATCTTTCACTTTACATCAACACACCGTTAGGTAATTATTCCAAAACCGACAACGGTCAGTGATCGACGCGATCACAACATGCCTTACAAAAGTTGTTTTTCGTTTTCTATTAATTTTAGCTTTTTATAAAAGGCTTTATTTTCACATCTTGGCGCTTATCACATGGCTGATATTCTTCCTCATAATCACGTTGTAGTTATTTCATTTCTATTACGGGTTCCGCCAACTCTCAAGCCTTCCAAATAGGCCATCAGTAGCGAGTTCCAAAAACTCTCACTTTCAAAACGAGGCTAAGTGCAAGACCTTTCTAGCGATTACGAGTTTTATTTACATGAGAACTGACAAAATCGGTATCATTTTCACATCAACGACTTCGCACTTAGCCTCACTTTGAAACGGAGGCTTGAGGCAACTCCAAAAAGCCTGTTCTACTTAGGCTATTGCTATTACTAGTAATAGTTGACACTACAGCTGCCCCCGTTCTGTGTATTGTCGGTCAATAGTATTCTTGCTGGTTGTGTAGCTCTTTGAAATATACCGATTCATAATGAAGATTTTCACACATATTCCATACAACAGTTGAGATAAACACAGGAAACGCAAGGTTCCATGCACAGTTTCGGCTCGATTTACACAGCTTTGATCAAAACATTCTCAGCTTCGAGAATAGTTTATTCTCAACCATCGGAAAAGATTTAATTAGAAGTTGAATTTTTCGCTATTTCTCTTTCCCTTTTTACATTCAGTTCATTTTATTTGCCGGAAAGTAAGTCTTAGAAATTAAAAGGACGTTTGATCGATCCACGCTAGCGCATTCTGGTCTTATTTGAAACTTTTTGACGGAAGGACATCTGTGAGCAGGGAATAATTAAGTCAGCACAGAATTTGATTGTCGGCGAATTTCTGTAAATGTCCATCAATCTGCTAGTGATAAGCTAGCCGTTGTTCACTCGTCTTGCTTGCTTGCTGGGGCCGAGTCTTATTCCGGTCAAAGAGAGAGAAAGAGTGTCTGGCAATGTTTCCAATATAAATCAAAGATTTGTGAACTCGTGTCTGGCAAACCTCCAAGTGTTTATATGTACACAGTTAAACGCACCTTATAACCTCCCCTGCGCTTAACGAGTGTCTTTTGGTCCATAACTTTCAAAACAACTGCTCCACAGAATGTCACTGCGCAACGCAAAAGAGTACCGAAGTATGACTGCACAATAAATGTGACAAAATCTACCTGAGCGGTCCCTTCGGAATTTTCTGTCTTTACGTCTTCCTAACCATTTCGTACTTGCGGGCGCAAACAATAGAAACGTCATCATTACCTACCGATTCCTCGCGGCCCCTGTTCGAGCAAATCGAGATTTTTTCTAGTATCCTGACTGTATATTTGAACTGTAAGTACTGTCCTTAATATACGCGCGAGTTACTACGGTGCCTCCTCGGGATTTCGCCTCTGGACGAAATCCCTGCGGGGGCAATTATTCATTCAAAATATTTGCCCAATTCTGATTGGCTAAAAGCACACGCATAATTTGCCATAACCAGTTATTGATGACCAAATTTGGAAGAATTTTGTGTTTAACGAGGAATGCAGCGTTCTTGCAGGTTAAGGCACCGTTAACCGAGAAGACCTGGGGACGAGGTTGAGTTGTTTTGGTTGTGAAAACAAAAAATGGCGGACATTTCACTCGTTTCAAGAGTAAGAACTAGACGAAATCATAGCTAAAAACATGGCAAGAACAGCAAGAACACAACTCGAAGGGCGACATCTGCTATTTGGAGAATATTTGCGGAGCTGAAAAACCCTAAATGTGCACTATCGAAGGTGAACTTAACATCGATGGAGATAAGCATGTTTTAGCTTTATTTTTAAACTAGGAATTATTTTGAATGAATAATAAAACAATTATTGAATTCGGCTTTCGTATCATATGAAGAATTATGGAGATCTCGGAGGCTGTTCTCCGCCCCGGCCTACGGCCTCGACGGATAACACCCTCCTCGGTCTCCATAATTCTTCACAAGATACTCAGCCTCATTCATTAATTGTTAAATAATTGAGATATCCTTTTTTATATAGGGACCCTTCTTGGCGCTTATCGCCTGGGCGACATTCTTCCTCACGATCACGACGCAGATATTTCATTTCTTCTTAGTTCAGATACAGCAAAAGCCTTTCAGGAATTAGCCAAGTCTGGTATCGCAGCGGCGGGAATAAAAGCGAGGTTTAAAAACGTGGTTGTGGATTTCGTGCCTTGGAGAGCTGAATACACGAAGACTCGAGGTACAGGGAAAGTTGTACTGCACAAAGCATATCCGGTGGAGGTGCTGGAGAAGGATAATATTGTGACGAGATATCATCATAAACTGCAATCTTTTCCACAGTCATGGGTTGTGCCACCGAAGCGAGTAAACTTCCACGGTGTCAGTGTGTCAGTTCCTAATTCGCCCGCTCGCTTATTAGCACATAGATATCCTTACACCTTTGGTGCGTTTGGAGTGCAATTTCCATATAAGTGGAAATGTTGGCTGCCCTGTTCGCTAAGAAAGGGAAATACATGTTGAATTCAGAGGTTTTTTCTTTGATGCCCTGTTTGACTGATATGACACTTGTCTCTGCTGATTTACTTGCGGTGGCAGCGTTGGCACTGAAAGATAAGAGAGAAGATGGGTTAGACGGTGCGCATCTTGATCCTACTTTTCTCGTAAATATATAATAAACTTTAAAGACAAAGGCCGTTACGAGGCAGTGTCAAACATGACACATGGGTGCCACTGGCACCAAATTATTGCAGACTTCAATTAATTCCTCTCGCTGTCTGTTATTGGCTCTTATTTACTTTGAGGTTTTAACAAGTCGCAATTGGAACTGGCTACGATATAACTTAACTTAGGATCTTACCTGGAGTTTTCTTCAATGCCACCAAGTACAATATCATCACTCAGATTAGAAGCATTAGCTTTTTACGATAAATCATTTGTGACTTCCGTCCTTTGAATAAGCTGCCCACTAATAATAGAGTAGAGAATGATCTTTATTCTATAAAAACTAAGTTTACTGATTTAGCAAAGCAATAGCCTGAGAAAACAGCCGACATTAGGCGACGCTACCACTGGTTTCCCCGCCAAATGACGTCTGAGAAACGAGCGCAGAAATTCCATACTGATGACGCGTCACTACCCAGATCTGGGTAGTGCTTCTGATTGGTTAAATCAAATTTCCCTCGCGGCACGACCAATCAGAAGCATTACCCAGATCTGGGTATTGACGCGCTATCAGTATGGAATTTCTGCGCTCTTTTCTCAGACGTCATTTCGCGGGGAAACCAGAGGTGGCGTCGCGAGATGTCGGCTGTTTTCTCAGGCTAGCATAGCCATGGACGTTTGATTCTGATTGTTTAGGAAATGTTGTGGCCGCTGACTCATCACGGTTTCCAAATTCTCTTAACAAACCCTAACAACAAGACGATTTTACAACGGAACCTAACCTCACTCAAGTTATAAAGGTTGGCAAAGTGCCGTACCGAAGGTTTCAGCTTTGACGTGCTCTTATCCCATTCAGTGCTTGGGATGGAGTAGTTTACATTAACTTAAACAAATACATCTTAACATCTCTTACAACTGCTTCTTAAAATGTAATAAAACTATCAACATTTGGACTGAGTCATTTTTTCCCCTAATTTCTCCTGCGGTTTAAACATTTTAACCTACCCCCCATATACCCCTATATACCACCAGGGGTATACAACACTATATGCCCCTATATACCCCTATACAACACCATATACCCCCATATACCCCTATACATCACCATATACCCCTATATACCCCATACAACACCATATACCCCTATATACCCCTATACAATGCCATATACCCCTATATACCCCTATACAACACCATATACCCCCATATACCCCTATACATCACCATAGACCCCTATACATCTCCATACACCTCCATACATAACCATACACCCTTATACATCACCATACATCCCTATACATTCCCATACACTACTATACATCACCATACACCCCTACACATCACCATACATCCCTATACATCACCTTACACCCCTATACATCACCATACACCACTATACATCACCATACATCCCTATACATTACCATACACCTCCATACATAACCATACACCCTTATTCATCACCATACATCCCTATACATCCCCATACACCCCTATACATCACCATACACCCCTATACATCACCATACACCCCTATACATCACCATACACCCCTATACATCACCATACACCCCTATACATCACCATACATCCCTATACATCACCATACATCCCTATACATCACCATACACTCCTATACATCACCATACATCCCTATACATTACCATACACCACCCATACATAACCATACACTCCTATACATCACCACACACCCCTATACATCACCATACACCTCCATACATAACCATACACCCTTATACACCCTTATACATCACCATACATCCCTATACATTCCCATACACTACTGTATATCATCATACACCCCTACACATCACCATACATCCCTACACATCACCATACATCCCTATATATCACCATACACCCCTATACATCACCATACACCTCTATATATCACCATACATCCCTATACATCACCACACACCCTCATACATAACCATACACCCCTATACATCACCATACACCCCTATACATCTCCATATACCTCCATACATAACCATACACCCTTATACATCACCATACACCCCTATAAATCACCATACACCTCCATACACAACCATACACCCCTATACATCACCATACAGCTCCATACGTAACCATACACCCCTATACAACACCATATATTCCTATACATCCCCATACACCCCTATAAATCACCATACTCCCCTACACATTCCCATACACTCCTATACATCACTATACACCACTATACATCACCATACACCCCTATACATCACCATACACCTCCATACATAACCATACACCCCAATACATCACCATACTCCCCTATACATAACCATACACTCCATACATAACCATACACCCCTATACATCACCATACACCTCTGTACGCGAAGTTCTTGGAAGGATTAACGTATGGGTTTTGAATAACAGTATTTATTCCCCGGGGGGGTACTCCCATATATGGGCTATATAGGTACGTGCCGCGCAATAGAGTATGGTTTTTGAAGTTCTCGGTCCTTAAGTAGGGTATCCTTCTTGACCCTTTTGTTTCTGTGTCCCTGGTGTGGTCCTTAGATAGGGTAGGTTAATTGCATTATCTAATACTGGAGTGGGAAAATGCGCGCCTAAGCGAACGGTTTTGATTTTTCAACAGAGGTTTAATAGACGTTAAGCGGGTAAATACACGTAACGCCTATTCAAGCCACATGTTTGTTTTTTCCTTGAATAGGGTGTCATTTTTCGGCTTTGGGCCTTAAAAAGGGTACCAGTTTTCTTAGCTTTTTATTGGATAATACCCGACCCGCGATGCCAAACAAAAACAAAAATGAACAAAAAAAATGCTCACACTTTACTAAGGTATATTGAATGTACTTCCTGACTTTCATGGACATGCATTAAACGGCTTAATTTGGTAGGTCACATGAACTATGGCTCGTGGAGTAATATAACTAAGTAAAACGTTGCGAAATAAATTGCACAAGCTTTGTAGCACTTTGATCCCGGCTGAACCGTATATTACCAAGATCGATGCCACCCAGCGACAGTTAGATGTTCGACATCAAGGGGACATAATGAGAAATTTAATCATTGTTTCTTGCTTATTCTTTGTTTTGGGATTTAAAACAATCATCTGTGTTCTTCTTGGAAAAGAAGAAGGACAATATCTGCGGGATGTCTTAAGAGAGTTTGAGTGTACACCGCAAAATGGAAGGTTTGATCAAATTGTTGAAGGGCCACACGCTATGTCAAAATTAATACCAAAATTATTTATCTGGTGTCCAATAAGACATTACGGTTTGACTATTTTATGTCCTATTCATGGCTGTCCTCTTAAAGTCGGACAGTGGACCGATCTTCCTGACTCCTCCAACACAAGTCCAAGAAACCCAAGATTGATTTACGACTTGAACGGAAATGTTATTCTGGTGCAGGCGTTCTATGAATGCAGTGAAAGTTTGCCAGAAAACGTGATGATTGGACATCGGTATTTGTCCGCATCAAACGATGTGTTAGGCGCTCTCCCTGAAAGTGTTGTTAAGGGATTTCCTCTTATAATGCAGCAGAGAAGCGGTTTTACGCTGCGTCTTTATGATTATTTAATAACTGGTATTTATCAAGGACAAAACTTCATGGAATTATCTGAAGGCATTGCATCAATGAATTACAGACAGTACATGCGTAATAAACCGGACAGCAAAGAGTTATCTGTAAAGGAGTTTGAGAGTATTCCTTTCATTGCCTATCCAAGCAACGATAAACTAATGGCTTTGTTTCTCATGCAGTTTGAGCGGAACAAAAAACGTTATGAGAATAACATGCAGAAACACACAGGGGAGATTCTTTCCTGTGACCACACCTTTAGAACGAGTAAACATATCGGGGTAACCCGCGAGGACGGCAAGTTTGTAGGCCAGTTTAAAAACGTCTTCTTGGGGGTGAACGAAAACGGAGAAGTTATGATATGGAAGTTTACGAAGACGACTTCTTCGTCCGAAATTATCGACTCACTTAAAGAACTGAAAGAGAGGCTTGATAAGGCAAGCACTAACTTCAAAATGATAATAGTGGATGACTGTTGCCACGTGATGCACCTATATGGACAAATATTCCCGGGGATAAAGGTTCGGCTAGACTTATTTCACGCGTGTATGAGAGTTGTACAAACGGTACCCAAAAGCGAAGATTACAGTAAACAATTTGCTAATGAATTTTCTTTAATTTTCCGTCAAAATGGAGACCTTGGTAACGAGAGAACAATGAGCACACCTTGTCCTGATGAAATAGAATCAAATCTTGAACGTCTTCTATTTGTTTGGAGAGAAAAGCTGAAAACGGAAACCCTTCTTCAAATTGAAAATTTGCGCAAGCATATAAAAAAAGGATGTCTCTCGGAAATACCTGTTGGATGTGGGACTGAAATAAATGAGCGACTTCACAGACATCTTAACCGATCATTACTGTGCGGAGTATCCAAAATTGGAACAGAGTTGGCGGTAGCGGTAATGGCGTGTGCTTTGTATGCATGGAATTGCAAACGAAGATTAAAAACAACCCTCAATAAGAGAACAATTCCGATCACGCCAATTGAATTAGAGCCTTTAGAGTCTTTAAACGAAGCGACCCCTTATCTTCAGTCTCACATGACGGCTGTGGATTCTACGTCAACGTCATTACCGGGTTCAATATCTGGAACTGTCTCTGAAAATAGCAGTAAGGCTAGTAGAATGCCAGGGACATCATCCGTTTTCGTCACAGTTAATACTGTGGAAGAACTGGAAAACGATTCCGTCTTGAACTACATTTTGGAACGAGCGCTGCACATACAAGAATTTATCACCAGTTGGACAACAAAATGTAACAACAAAACAATAGATTTGATTGGTCTTCTCTGGAAGATAAACTTACCGGCAGCTAACCTTTATGAACAGGAGTCAAAGTTAAACGTTATGGAATTAAATTTGACCCCACAGCACAAAGATAACCTGTTAAGAAATCTCACAGGATTTAATCTTCAGTTGGACCCGATTAACAAAGACGGAAACTGCTTCTTCAGAGCAACAGCCCGGCAGCTACAAAAACACTTGCAACGTTCGGATTTGCAAAATCTACAGCATATTTCCTCACTGGGGCTTGGAATCAACGAGGAACGTGACACGGAAAACCTCAGACTACTTTTCGTGCGTGAAGTCACTGAAAATCTCGATGAATACAGGGAGTGGATGTCCTGTTCGTCAAATGTACGAACAGGGTTACAAATTTAACCTCGGGTCAGAGATCATAGGCGAATTGAGGGAAAGGTGCACTGCATGTTTAAAAAAATGTGCATGAGTGTATAATCAGGTTTAAAAAATTTGTGAAGCCGAGAGGTTTTACACCTGGTAATACACTGGTAATACACATTTGCGAGTTGCGAGTTGTTTTGAATGGTTTCAAATTCTCCGCTAATTTTATAGATGAACTCATTTTTGCACAAATATATTTAGATTTGTGGTTATTATGGCCTAACAATTGAACGTAAAGGTTAGCCGTTTTTTTTTTTATCAGACATAAAGACACTCATTTTACAAACAAAAATTTCTTTGTTTTGTTTTGTTTTTAATGAATTATTAATGAATGTCTGAAGTTTATTTATGCTTTTGTTGATTATATACTGTGAAAGAGCTTGGCCTAGGAGATAACTATCAACCAATCAGACTGCCCAAAAACACCAAGCCTGAGTGGATATATACTAAATAAATTTTAGTTACCGACAATAATTGCAATGTATTTAGCAAATATACCTATCTGCTATTTGTGAATTAGATTTTCAGTGAAAAGCTCAACAGAGTATGGTATCTCCATCCAGTACATATAATAATTCAATATCGTTTTTTATTGATGAACTTGAAATTTGAAGGTCATATACCAATAATGAAAATAAATGAATAGATGAATTAAATAAATAATGTTTTCTCTACTGACCTTGGAGCTAGTAGCCGAATTGCGGAGGAACTGCGGAAATCAGACGCATTTGCAGTCGCTTCAGTCCATGTTTAATCTCACCGCCCCCTCCCCCCCTCCAGCCCCCAGTCCCATAACGGCACAATTCGGCCGGCTTACTCTTCGAACCAAGAAACGACGAAAACGAAGCCAACGAGAACGCCCCCAAAACAGTAAGAATATGCTTGGATTAGCAAAACACTACGACTTTACTTTGCCGTTGCGTGACTGCGACGTGATGTTAGGTTGAGCTTTTTAAGCCACCATCTTTTTGGAATTTAAGCAATTAAAGGACAGACAGCTATACCACCACGGGGGCAACCATGCTATGCAGGCACACCACTAGTGTCGAGCTTTGACAAGAATTAATGCTATATATGCTTTGCTGAATGTAAGGCATCTAGAAATAAAATGGGACAATGACACACATAAAAGTACTATATAGGGTTGTATGGTGATGTATAAAGACGCGTATGGGAATTTATAGGGGTGTATGGGGACGTAGAGGGGTGTATGGGGATGTATAGGGATGTATGGTGTTGTATAGGGGTGTATGGTGATAAATAGGGGTGTATGGGAATATATTGGGTGTATGGGGATGTATAGGGATGTATGGTGTTGTATAGGGGTGTATGGTGATGTATAGGGGTGTATGGGAATGTATGGGGGTGTATGGGGATGTATATGAGTATATAGTGTTGTATAGGGGTATATGGCGATGTAAAGGGGTGTATGGTGATTTATGGGGGTGTATGGTGTTGTATATGGGTATATGGTGATGTGCTGCGGTGTATGGTGATGTATAGGAGTACATGGTGTTGTATATGGGTATATGGTGTTGTATAGGGGTATATGGCGATGTACAGGGGTGTATGGTGATGTATAGGGGTGTATGGTGATGTATAGGAGTATATGGTGTTGTATATGGGTATATGGTGTTGTATAGGGGTATAGGGTGTTGTATAGGGGTATATGGTGATGTATAGGGATGTATGGTGATGTGCTGGGGTGTATGGTGATGTATAGAAGTACATGGTGTTGTATATCGGTATATGGCGATGTAAAGGGGTGTATGGTGATGTATGGGGGTATATGGTGTTGTATATGGGTATATGGTGTTGTATAGGGGTATATGGTGTTGTATAGGGGTATATGGCGATGTAAAGGGGTGTATGGAGATGTATTGGGGGTATATGGTGTTGTATATGGGTATATGGCAATGTATAGGGGTGTATGGTGTTGTATAGGGGTATATGGTGTTGTATAGGGGTATATGGTGATGTATATGGGTATATGGTGTTGTATAGGGGTATATGGCGATGTAAAGGGGTGTATGGTGATGTATGGGGGTATATGGTGTTGTATATGGGTATATGGTGTTGTATAGGGGTATATGGTGTTGTATAGGGGTATATGGTGTTGTATAGGGGTGTATAGTGTTGTATATGGGTATATGGTGTTGTATAGGGGTATATGGTGTTGTATATGGGTATATGGCGATGTAAAGGGGTGTATGGTGACGTATGGGGGTATATGGTGTTGTATATGGGTATATGGTGTTGTATAGGGGTATATGGGGTATATAGTGTTGTATAAAGTTGTATAATGGTTAGTGTTGTATAAGGGTATATAGTGTTGTATATAAGGTATATAGTGTTGTATATAGGGGTATATGGTGTTGTATAATAGGGGTATATGGTGTTGTATATATAGGTATATGGTGTTGTATATATAGGTATATGGTGTTGTATATGGGTATATATGTTGTATATATGGGTATATGGCGATGTAAAGGGTGTATGGTGATGTATATGGGTATATGGTGTTGTATAGGGGTATATGGCAATGTATAGGGGTGTATTGTGTTGTATATGGGTATATGGTGTTGTATAGGGGTATATGGTGTTGTATATGGGTATATGGTGTTGTATAGGGATATATGGCGATGTAAAGGGGTGTATGGTGATGTATTGGGGTGTATGGTGTTCTATATGGGTATATGGTGTTGTATAGGGGTATATGGTGTTGTATATGGGTATATGGTGTTGTATAGGGGTATATGGCGATGTAAAGGGGTGTATGGTGATGTATTGGGGTGTATGGTGTTCTATATGGGTATATGGTGTTGTATAGGGGTATATGGCGATGTAAAGGGGTGTATGGTGATGTATGGGGGTGTATGGTGTTGTTTATGGGTATATGGTGTTGTATATGGGTATATGGTGTTGTATAAAGGGGTATAAAGGGTATATAGTGTTGTATATGGTGTATATATAAATTATATAAAATATATATAATTATTGTAATAGGGGTATATATAGGGGTATATGGTGTTGTATATGGGTATATGGTGTTGTATAGGGATATATGGCGATGTAAAGGGGTGTATGGTGATGTATTGGGGTGTATGGTGTTCTATATGGGTATATGGTGTTGTATAGGGGTATATGGCGATGTAAAGGGGTGTATGGTGATGTATGGGGGTGTATGGTGTTGTTTATGGGTATATGGTGTTGTATATGGGTATATGGTGTTGTATAGGGGTATATAGGAGTATATGGTGTTGTATGGGGTATATAGGGGTATATGGTGTTGTATAGGGATATATGGCGATGTAAAGGGGTGTATGGCGATGTAAAGGGGTGTATGGTGATGTATTGGGGTGTATGGTGTTCTATATGGGTATATGGTGTTGTATGGGGTATATAGGGGTATATGGTGTTGTATAGGGGCATATGGTGTTGTATATGGGTATATGGTGTTGTATAGGGATATATGGCGATGTAAAGGGGTGTATGGTGATGTATTGGGGTGTATGGTGTTCTATATGGGTATATGGTGTTGTATAGGGGTATATGGCGATGTGAAGGGGTGTATGGTGATGTATGGGGGTGTATGGTGTTGTTTATGGGTATATGGTGTTGTATATGGGTATATGGTGTTGTATAGGGGTATATAGGAGTATATGGTGTTGTATGGGGTATATAGGGGTATATGGTGTTGTATGGGGTATATAGGGGTATATGGCGTTGTATAGGGGTATATAGGGGTATATGGTGTTGTATAGGGGTATATAGGGATATATGGTATTGTATACGGGTATATAGGGGCATATAGTGTTGTATAGGGATATATGGTGTGTAATAGGGGTATATAGGGGTATATGGTGTTGTATAGGGGTATATGGGGGTATATGGTGTTGTATGGGGTATATAGGGGTATATGGTATTGTATAGGGGTATATAGGGGTGTATGGTGTTGTATGGGGTATATAGGGGTATATGGTGTTGTATAGGGGTATAGGTGTTTATAGTGTAATAATAATAATATATAGTAAGATATAATAATTATGTTTAGGTACATAATAATAATCATATATGAAGTACCTACCTTTTGCTGGGTATGTGCCGCTGGCCTCTCAGAGCCCCTATACCCTGTGGCCAATTATAGACCCTATGTTAGTCACTATTGGGCAAATGTAATTTTCGCGATCCCAACTTAGTCACTTTATATTTATGCATCTACCTTATCAATCCTTTAAATAGGTCATCCTAATATCAATTGACCCATTTTTAAAATTGAATGAAGACCACTTTACTTTCACCTATAGTGAGGAGCAAGGGATGGCCCAGTGGTGAGAGTGCTCGCCTCCCACCAATGTGGCCCGGGTTCAAATCCCGGCGTCGACACCATATGTGGGTTGAGTTTGTTGTTGGTTCTCTCATTTGCTCCGAGAGGTTTTTCTCCGGGTTCTCCGGTTTTCCCCTCTCTTCAAAAACCAACATTTCCAAATTCAAATTCGATCTGGAACGCGCGGACACATGAACTCTTAAGTGCTTCGTGGGTAAAAAAGCAATTTAATTTTAATTTTATAGTACAAACATTCTGGTACGTTTGTGAACCGTAAAAAAGACGAACATTCTTGCCCCAAAAATCTGAAAATGTGTGACCCCATTCTAGTAACTCTATTGAAAATTCAATTTTATTATAGTCATCCATTCATTCATTCATTCATTTT